ATGCACGCGTTTGCCGGACTTATTTTTGTTGGACTTTTTTTGTTTTGATTGATTGATTGATTGATTGTGGGGGCGTCACCCCTCCCCAGCGCACGCACACACGCACACACACACACACAAACAAACACACACGCGCGCCCACGCACACACACACACACACATGGCGGGAGGGTTCTTGCCGTTTGGCAGGAAAACTGCCTCCCTGCCCTTTTTTTTTTTTCTTTTTTTTTTTTAATATGTAGTGTGAAGAACCCCACCTCCGCAATACATTAAAAAACATATATATTTTAAAAAAAAATAAAAAAATGTTCCCGTTCCGGCCGAACATTTGGCTGGGGGGTCCGAACGTTTGGCTGGGTGGTCCCGAACGTTCGGGCGTTCGGGTTCGGGGGTTCGGCCGAGCCTGAGTGCCGACTACCCTCCACATATGATCTTTTATCCGTTTTCGGTTCCAGACATTTTCAAGGTCCCGGTTCAAACAGCACACGGGTCCGAATATGTGCAGATGCACGCAGTTGTCCGGTTCGCCGGACGTCCGCATCTGGATCTATTCCGACACACTTCCTAAGTTTCATCCAGACTGGTCCAGCGTCTGAGTCCACAGTTACCATGGTTAATTGTCTTCATCAATTGCACCATCATCATCACATCATGACCTCCACGATGATCATCACCACAAACACCACCACTACTTGTCAAGATCTTGGTCAAAGATAAGACACCGAGATTACCGACGAAGAATGCTTGCGCACATAACAAGGCTGCTGCCAGAGCCCATAGATTTTTTTTGTGTTTTTTTTTCTTTTTCTTTTTCCCCAAAAGTGTTCCAAGATGGAGAGGCGTTAAGTGAAAATTGAGTGGGCCACAAATGCAAAAGAAGCAACTAGCACGGGCACCAACAAAACCTTTGAAGGGAACTCCCAGAATAGAAAAACACGGGGTTTAATTATCGATATAGCATGCGTCAATGTGACTTACCCCTGTGACTGCGATACCTCCCGGCCTCAAAATGCCCTGTTTTGATATGAACCTGTTTTCTTTGCGGATTGTCTCAGCAGCCTCCTTGATTTCCACGCCTGCGCTCATCGTCGTCAAGATCAAGGAGCTAATCTTCTGTGTCTCCTGGATCACCTGCATTGCATTGCATTGCATTACATTACATTATATCCATGCCGATATTGCATGCATAAATTATGTTAAACATTACATCCACCATGCGTCCACACATCCACAGGCAACTGAGGAGATGGTGGCTCCTCAGGTAAGTCTTGCCGGAAGGGGGGTGTAGGGGTTGGTTGGCGGTGTAACCTTGGTAGGAGGCTTCTATTCTTTTTGAACACTCAGCAGATTCAACTTCAATAGTTCAGCAGTTTTCACAAAAAAAAGGGGGGTCAGCTGATGGCGCAATCTTGATATTAGTTGATAGGAGGTCTCTACTTTCTTGAATGTTCTTGAACAAAAAACAAACATCACTGAACAAATCGATAGTCAACTGGCTTCACCGACTGAAGGTGCCGAAGGCGTCGTTTGAGTCTCTATATAGATATTAGATAGGCTTAAGCCGCCCGTATGTATTTATCAACTGAGTTAACTCAATACGTAGCTTCCCGTCAATGCCACTGGCATGCACTTCGTGCCTAAAGAGAACCCACATTCTGCAGATCCCATTGAGTAGCTTTCCAGTTTCACTAATATTCTGGTTTCTTCTCAGCAGAAGCCGGGTAATGGGGCCCTGGTATCTCAGATTGTTCTCTATATTTTTCATAAGGGACGCTGGGTTCCAAGCACGTGCTGTTCCCCACGCATAGATTGGAGCATTGTTCAAAAAAAAAACAAGAGGGGGAAATAGCTGTTATGTCCCTACGTTCATGACAATGAGCCTATGCCGTCTCCGAAATGCGCCTTGGATGCTATTGATACTGAACCAGGTGACGTGCTTGACCCGTACCTCGCGCCCAAACCAAAAATCCAGGTATACTCAAACAGGGCCAGACTTAAGGTTTGGGCAAGATAGGTATACTCAAACATGGCCAGACGTAAGGTTTGGGCAAGATAAGTATACTCAAACAGGGCCAGACTTAAGGTTTGGGCAAGATAGGTATACTCAAACAGGGCCAGACTTAAGGTTCGGTCTCTTATACACATCTAGATGTGTATAAGAGACAGGATAAGTATACTCAAACAGGGCCAGACTTAAGGTTTGGGCAAGATAGGTATACTCAAACAGGGCCAGACTTAAGGTTTGGGCAAGATAAGTATACTCAAACAGGGTCAGACTTAAGGTTCGGGAAAAACATTTTTTATATAGCAAAAGCAACAGATAGTAAGATACCACAATAGAAAGAACCATAACAGCAATAGCTGCAATAGCTAACACAAAGAACAATAACAGCAATGGCTTACCGTCTTTGCCACTGTTGTGTCTGAGAGTGACGATGCCAATTTAAGTATCTTGTTGACATTGCGTTTAACATTGTTGGCCTGTCTTGAGATTTCCCTTGCGGCTTTGTTTACCACAGATGATCCAGAGGCAATCTGGCGCTTGACGGCTTTATCGTAATGTCCCTGATTGACCTCCCCAATGCCAAACGTGATGGATTCCACGCCGTGAACAACTTCCATAGCTGCCTCGACAATTTGTGCGATGGATTGTAAAATACCGTCAGCGCTACGAGCAATGGCCTGCGCTGAGCGACTCCCTTCCTCAGTTGCTGCAGATTTGATGCGTTGGGCAGACTCTGAGGACACAAGGGGACAAGTAGTAGTCGCCAAGCTAGATAAAACTTTGCTTGTGATGACGCTAATCTTAACGACCGCCTCCAACACCACAGGAGATGTCACATTCTCCCCGCGATTTAAGACCTTGACTGCCTTTCCCACGCCCTCGGGAGGGGGCACGAGCGCTGAAAGATTGAATCCCAGCTGTTCGATGCGTTCCGACTCTGTTGGTGTGCTCTCTTCATCAAGTAGACCATCAGGAGCGGTTGGGGTGGACGAATGTCCGGAGGGAGGAGGCGCCATAGCTGGAAGGCTCCCAAAAGGTATGGTACTGAAGTCTATGGGAGTCCTCACATAAGGTGCTGTCCCATTAGCAGTGTAGTTGGCTGTTACACATCGAGAGCCTAGCTCTGATTCGATCTTAAAGCCTGCAGTTACACCTATTTCATACCACAGCCCTGTATATGCTTGTATATCCACTGCCGGTACTGTAGGTGGTGTTGGACATCTCCTACCAGGACCATATGCCTTGCAGAAACTAGTGAACTGTCCATGCACATCAGGATCATGTTTGGGTCCTGATGACGATGACGCAAGATTGCATGTGCTCATTACTGACAATACCATGACTGCAAGCAGTCGGAAAAGGTCGGTACATGTGTGTCGAGAAGGTGAAAGCAGTAATGAACCCATGCTGATGCCCGCTCTGCTGGCAGACCTTCCTCCTGGAGTCGGACACGTTCCTCAAGGCCCACTGTCTGCAATGCATAAACCATACCACCACCACCCGTCAGAAACCAATCTCTCTCTCTCTCTCTCTCTCTCTCTCTCTCTCTCTCTCTCTCTCTCTCTCTCTCTCTCTCTCNGAGAGAAAGGTCGAGTCCAGAAGAACGACTGACGAACAAAAGTGAGGAAAGAGGCAGGGGACAAAAAAAGTTGATGACAAAAAGTGGCAAGTTCACAACAGAGAGCAAAGGATGGAGGGCATGGGGGAGGCGGGKGGGCAGACAGACAATACACAGTGCCCAAAACACAACCAACATGCCAAAGAAACATCCCAAAAAAATGGAGTATCAAAACATGCAAAACCGAAAAAAATAAACTAATGATAGATTGTTTCGTCAGAGTTGCACCGACTCATCAGGAAGCTGAACCCTCGACAATCTGCGGAATGCCCGTATTGATGGTTTGGGTCATGAACCCTTTGACCCTTGTTGAAGGCAGACTGTCTCCAAGCGGAACATAGCAGCGGCCAGCAACCCTGCGGAGCACCAGGCAGCGCAGTAGAGGCAACACGGCTGCACAACGCCAAAAACAACTGCAAGGAACACCGAACTCGCAGCACGGCACCCAAGCAGTGAAGCACCAGGCAACACCACCAAGACAACCACACTGCAAGGGACGAGAGGGCAAGCGGACAAGCAGCAGAGCGACCATGCTGAGGAGCACAAGGCAACCCCAACACGGCAACCAAACTACAGGGCGCGCAAGCAAAAGACCCGGAAGGCACGACCAGCGGWCGGGCGGCAAGGCAGCGAAGCAGCAAAGCGCAAGGCAACACCACAACCCGGCCACACCACACAGCGAAGACAGCAGCATGCCAAGAACGACCTGCGAGGCAAGCGGAACGGGCAGCAAGGCACTGGTGGAGCGCAGACGGGGTCGTCCACACATCCAACACGGAGCAAAGCAGCACATCACGTACTCACATCACGGGTGAACCCCACAGACTATTGGTTCCCACCACCCACTGAGCCAGGGAGACACTCCGACGAGCATCCTTCATCACCTACAGGCAACACAGATAACCCGAACCGAGCGGCCCCCCTAAGAGTGCAGTTGGCACTCCAAACGAGGAACCACCGACTGTTTGGCACTACCTAAGGGTGCTCAGTTGGGCACACACAAAAATACTTAGAAAAAATCAGAGGAGAGACAGACAATAGGAAAAGGACCGACAGACATAAAACTGATTGTGTGTGTGTGTGTGTGTGTGTGTGTGTGTGTGTGTGTGTGT